CATCCTTCAGCTGGTGGTGGGTGTTTGTACAGGATCCCACGAGGAAGAGGGGTTGTCCTGAGAGGGGAGCTGGCACAGCCCCCAGCCCTGGTGCTTGCCCGATGCTGCTGGCTGGGCACGCAGCCACCGCCACTCTCCCCAGCGCCATGTGTGAGGGTGCAGGGGGAGCACATTGCACCCTCTCTGCTCTGCTTTCCAGGCCCGTGAGGCAGTGAGGAAGGGGTTATGTGGGGTCTGACACCCTCCCCACAATAACCACCTGCAGTTCCAGGCTTACTCCTACCTCCAAAAGCAAAAACATTACAGACCAGGCAAGCTGCCTTTGCAAAGGCTGTCTAGACTGACTGCCGTGCAATGCCGCACACAGGAGAGACACCGCACTGAGCTCCCTGAAGCCCATTTAAGGACTTGAGCGGCAGGAGGTTAGATCAGGAATTATAAAACAAATTCACTGGAAACACCAGAGCTATGAAACCACCTTGTCGCCCGGCACCCCCCCCAAGAAAGGAGGAACAGAAGCAAAGAAAATGGAGATGCTGTACTCACCTCGCATCAAGCCCTCTCCTCTGTCCTGTGCTTGTGCTGGGATGAGGATGGTCTCAACTTCTCAAATTTGGCTGGGAAAAGCAGCCGGGCATTGGGAGCTTTGCGACGCACCCCAATCCTTCCTTTCTATTTCTTACAGTCGGCTGGGGCAGAAAGGAGGAAGTCAGAGCAGTGGCTGTGGGAGGGCGTGTTCCCCCTTCAAAACTCAACCAGCCCCCTCGTGCTGGCCAAAGCCCTGCCAAAGCATCCTGCCCTGCGAGGCTGGAGCTGATCTCCTCCCTGGGCTACACTAAGGGGTCTACAGCCCTCCCACTGCACCTGGGAAAGGGATCCTACCTAAAACCTGCCCTTTTTGCCCCACTATTAACCTTTCACAGAACCACCGGAGGCCAGCCCATTCCCCCAGCAGACAAATAAAGCTGGTAGTGGGGGAAACTGGTTACTTTGGGAGCTATCAGTAGCCCCTAGGTGCAGAGAAGATGAGGAGCTGACTCTCCTCAGAGTCTGGGTTGGGCTCTGAAATTTTTGTGTCAGGGCTGGCTGCTGGTGTAGCAACACCTCCTTGCTTGGCAGAGGATGCCAGTGCCGTTCTCGCTGTGGCACAGCTCAGGGCTGTGGTTTTTTTTTTTAAGCAGCCTTCAAGCTCTGTTGTGCAGGCTGCAATAACTCCTCCCAATGCACCCGCAACAGTATTTCCCTGAGCAGAGAGGAACTGGCTCCTGGCAACTATCTCTTAACCTCTTCAGGGCACTAAAGTTTAAAAAAAAAAAAAAAAAAAAAAAAAAACAAGTCGTTCAGAAAATGTACAGGATTGTAGATTTTTTTATAAAGATAATTAATGTGAAGCTTTTGTTAATTGCTTTGTAGGTTCCCCTTCCAGCAAGCTAATGTTGAGTGACCACAATGCATTATAAGATACTGATGCAGTTCACCTGCTGCTGTCTTACAGTTATGGAGCTGGGTTTATTTTTGCAGCAAGCAAAGAGAATTGCAGTGCCAGCAGCAAATTTCTAAGCCCTGATGACTGCTCCATGGGTTAGCGTTTTTATTAAAGAAGACAACAGAGCTCTGGGCTGGTTTCAGCCAGCTGCTGGGTGTAGCTAGAGAGCATCATAGCAATTTTTGCAGCCAGATGGGAGCATCGGAGCAGCTATCGCCTGGCTGTGTGGGATATGGTGAGGACGGAGCCTGAAGACGAGCTTGCTGGGAGCTGGGGTGCCCACCCCAGCTTACTTGGAAAGCCTGGGTGGCTGCAGCTGGATTGCTGCAGAGCAGCCCCCAGCCCTGGAGCGGGTGGGCCAGGGCAGATGAAGCTGGGAAAGCTGTTGGGGCTTCCTGCCAGCGTTGCTGGTTGCAGATCTGGGGGAAGGAAGTGCGCTCGAGTGAGATGAGCTGTTGTAATTTTTCCTTTTGTATTGCATAAGGCCCTTATTGGGCTGCTCTTTTCTCTTCAATTATTTCATTGGGTTTGTCAAACCACTCTGCTCCCACTGACAGAAAGTCGAGAGAAGGGGGTGGGAGAGCTGGGAGCCTCCTGAGTTGGAGCAATGGGAGCAGAGCGGGTCTACCATGGGTCCTTGTAGCCCACAGCTGAAGCACATTGGCATATTCCCAGCTCCTCCCGAGCTGTTCCTTATGCTCTCTTGCAACCTTGGCCTTGAGCGGACATCCACAGCAAAGCACAGTCCCTAACAGTTCCCAGGGGACCCTTAACACGTTCCCCCACCCCTGCCTCCAGCATATCAGTGCTTAGCCTGGTAGCTCGTTAGTCCTGGCTATTTACTACATGTATTAGCCAATGAGTAGTTACTCTTACACTGTGTCCGTGCTTTCACAACCACATATAGGACAAGATGTCCAAGCAGAAGCAAGCCAGAGCTGGAGCAGGCAGCATTAGGATGCTGGTGTCCAACCTCTCCTGCTTGCTACCCCCCCGCAGCTGGCAAACCCATGCTCCTTTGGTGTGGGTTTCACCTGCTTGAGGTTTTAATCTTTGATACTTCCCAGTTTGGGAACAAATTCCATTTTTTAAAGGATGTCTTTTGTTTCTACATTTTATTTATCCTTGCTGCTGTTTAAACCTGCTGCAGATGAAGGGGTGGGCATCCTTTGGAGACATGTACGTGCTTAGTTGTAGTGCGCATGCTCCCCAACCCCACTGTAAGCATTTTAAGCTGTTACAACATTCCTTTTTCTATTTTCTTTTACTCATCTTTATTTTTATTAGGTCCCATTTTTAATTTTATTTTTACTAGAGTGGTTTGTGTTTCCCCCCACCACTGGCTGTGGGACCGTTGTGGTTTTTGCAGGATGCTCTTGAGCAACAGGGGTGGGGAACAGGGCATCCAGCTGTGCATCCAGCTGGGCACTCTTGGAGTGGTTGCCCCCAGAGTTGTTGATTTTGGTGATCAGAGATGTAATTTTGGTGTTTTGCTCCTAAATGATGTTCACCCAGCCTACAGCAGGGTAATGGAAGTTTTCCCAGTGTTATTTTCTCTCCCTGACGAACATTAAATCTTCCTTGGTGTGTCCCAGCCACTGCCATACTCCAGCTGAACGAGCGGTACAACGGAAGCAGGGATTCAGGAAGGCTGTGGGATCTCCATCCTCAGAGATATGTTTCATTTTCAACGTTCTAGGATTTGTATAGGGGTACGCTTGGTTGTCAGTAGGTGCCTGAACTGGATGTGGCAACTTTCCAAGCAGCATCACCTTCCCAGGGACCTCTCCCCACATTTCCCCACATCCTTGGTACTCACAAGGAGGGTCACCAGCCGTGCACTTGTGTGGCACAGCTTGCCTTGCACTCTCGCGCTGGCCACACCGATCCATATTCATCAACCCTTTGGCCGCATGGGAGTGGCTGCTGCCCAGGAGATGGACTCATTGATGCTGGCCTTCCTGCTAGGAGCAGCTTGGCTCCCCCAGACTTGCTCACCTGTCTGCAAGCCAGGGCTGAACAAGGGACCTGGGGAAAAGGAAAAAGGAACTTCAGCTGGCATGGAGAAGTACGTGGCAAGAAGTTTACCTTGCTTTAAGAAACCTGTTACCAGTGAACACGATGTTCATCATTGTATTTTTTGTATTGGTCTCGTTTTAATTTTTGAAGCTTTGAAAGAGCAGTGGAAAAATGCTACCCAGTGTAGGCCCAAAGTAAGGGTGAGGACACAGGTCCCTGGGGCTGCTCCCCAACGTCAGGCCCTGGGAAACACAGCTCGGAGGGGGACAGGGATGGCAAAGAAAGGCCAGCTGGAAAACGAAGACACATTAACCACGGAGAACCCATTGGGGCTTTTTAAGAGCAAAACCACTGTGGTTCCCAAGGATGAGGCTTTTTATTCACCTGAGGGGGAGAAGCAGCTTTGCATTTCACCCCCTTGCATGCATGGAAAGGTGCAGCTAGGGTTGAGGCTGTTTTGGCAGTGGTCTCCACCTAGATCTGTGACCGCAGAGTCAAACACGTGCTTGGGCTCCACGAGGGCTTGTCAGGTATTTTCTGCTGTTTTAACTATAGAAACAATTTCTGGCAGGGAGTTTCAGAGTTCAGCTTTCTGTCCTACCATGCCATCCTGGTCTGTCGCTGGTGCTACAGAGAGGCCTCACCTCTTCCAGGGGCTTACACCAGACTTTAACTGTGTCGCAGTCTCCAAGCACACTGAATGAACGCCCTCCGGCTGTTTCCAGGAGCCATCTTCGGCAGGCCGCCTGCCCCACTGACAGCCTTAAGGCGATTAACCCCCCCGGCTGCCCATCAAAGCAGAACGCTAGTGTTTAAGGCGCCACCATTACGCTTCAGAGTTAACAGCCGCGGAGGCGCTTCTCTCCGTCGCGCGGAGCTCCCCGGGGCCCCCAACGCCGCCGGGGCCGGCGCTCTCCGCTGCCGCACCCG